AAAGAGAAGGACTCCGGTCAGAATCGGTTATATCCTTCTCTATCAGACCTAGAAAATGGAAGTAGCTCAGACTCAGACTCGTCACAGTCTGAAAAGAAATGGTTACTTGCTGAGATCGCAGCCCTTAAAAAAGAACTAAAAAAGATTCTAATTAAGGAAAGACAGGACAGGGAGAGAAACCCTTCCCCATACTCTGAAAAAAGGGACTCCTCCTATGAGATAACCCAGTCCTTCTCAGACCTGGAGGGAAGACCCAGAGGAGGGGTCCAATGCTGCCCGGTGGTGGCCCCAGTAATGGAAGTTCCAGATCCAAACAATTCTGGACAGGTCATTCGGCATCATAACCCTTTAAATTTTAAGGATATAAAACAACTTAAAGAGGCAACTTTAAATTATGGAGCACAGGCTCCCTTTACACTTTCCTTAATGGAATCTTTTGCATCTCTTAATTTGACACCTGGCGATTGGCAGCAGCTTTGCAGAGCAGCTCTGTCGGGGGGAGATTATTTGATTTGGAGAGGTGAGTTTCAGGAAAGATACAGCCAGACAGCCCAAAGAAATGCACAGGCCGGACAGCCCCAGAGAAATGTGGAGATGCTTACCGGGAGTGGTCAATACGCCACCATTCAGCAACAAATGCAATATGACATCGCAGTCTATGCCCAAGTGACAGCAGCAGCCCAAGGGGCTTGGAAAGCATTGCCTTCCAAGGAAGGAGGGGATCATCTGTCCAAAATCCTTCAAGGACCTTCTAAACCTTTTCAAGACTTCGTAGACCGTCTCAGTCAGGTAGCAGAAAGAATATTTGGGGGCATTGGGCCTGCGATGCCAGTCATAAAGCAGATGGCATTTGAAAATGCAAATAAATATTGTAAGGAAGCCCTTCGCCCCTATCGCAATAAAAGTCTAAATGACTATATCCGGATCTGTAGGGACATTGATGGGAACTTCATCCAGGGCCAAGTGTTAGCTGCTGCTATTCGGCCCCAAGTGGGGAAAGAAAGACCTACTCTGGGAAGGAGAAAAACATGTTTTAGCTGCGGTAGGGAGGGACACTTCCGTAGAGAGTGCCCTCAAAATAGTACTACGGGTCTCAAGAGACCTGGTTTATGCCCCTGTTGTCGAAGGGGATATCATTGGGCCAATAACTGCTACTCTAAAACTGACAGGGAGGGAAATTTCCTTTCTGTTAATAATAATCAGGGAAACGGGAGGAGGGCCCCGCCCCAGGGCCCCAAAACCAATGTGTACGGGGCAATGACCCCTGCTCTGGGCAGTGGCAGGACTCATTTTCTCCCCCAGAGCAACCCCTTCATATCTCAGACCTCCTTAGAGCCACCTCGGGGAGTGCAGGATTGGACCTCGCTCCCTCTGCCCGGGCAATCCTAACACCGGAAATGGGGATCCAGGCCCTCCCTACTGGGGTGCATGGGCCATTGCCCCCAGGCATGGTCGGAATACTCTTGGGACGGTCCAGTACTATTCTTCGAGGCATCCAGGTACACCCCGGTGTTATAGACCAGGATAGTGAGGGGGAGATTAAAATAATGACATCAGTGGGCAGTGGGGTTGTTGCCATCCCTGCAGGAGAACGGATTGCTCAGATACTCCTTCTCCCTACAGCTCCTTGTGAGGCCAGAAAAATTAAAGAGAAAAGGGGCAACCAAGGTTTTGGAAGTACCGGCCCGGCAGCATTTTGGGTAGCCACTATGGAGAACCACCCCCAGCTTACATTAAAGATAGAAGGAAAGTCCTTTAGGGGCGTCTTAGATTCTGGGGCAGATTTCTCTGTCCTCTCAGATAAATTCTGGCCCCCCGCCTGGCCGAAAGAGGAAGGGACAGTGACCCTCCAGGGAATAGGACAGGCTGTGCCCCAAAAAAGCCTCAGAATCTTAAAGTGGCAAGACTCTGAAGGCCACACAGGGCTTTTCCAGCCATATGTTTTATCTGGCCTCCCTGTTAACCTCTGGGGACGGGACCTCATGCAAGAAATGGGAGTGGTCCTCACCACTCAGACACCCAAGTCCAAAAGCAGGGGCCCCCAGATGATGCAAGGGAGGGGCTGGAGCCCGGGGAGGGAACTAGGTAAACTAGAACAGGGAGAGGTTTGCCCTGTGGCATCCCTCCCTTTGGAGACCAGGGCCCCAGGGGATAGGAAGGGTTTTGGTCATTTTTGAGGAAACCTGAGAGATCTAAAAGGCTGGCCAGTAAGGCTATGCGGATGTGTTAAAAAGGGGTACCAAGCTAGGGGTACCGGATTAAATCTCCAGGCCTTCGCCTGACACCAAGGTCAGGAAAGAAAGGGGAACCTGAGAGATCACCCTAAGTTAGAGGGTGGATTGGATTAAATCTCCAGGCCTTCACCTGACACCAAGGTCAGGAAAGAAAGGGGAACCTGAGAGATCACCCTCAGTTGGAGGATGGATTAAAAGTGAGTAAATTAAAAATTGGTAATGGTTAATAAAGGAGGTACTGGTATTAAGTAAAAGAAAAAAAAAGACAAAGGTATATGGAATGGAAAATTTTGTTTATATTTAAGTTCTATTTTGTGAGTCATCTCTAAAAAACTTTTGGCCAAAAGCCTGGCCTCTCCACCTTGCATCTACAGAGTTACAAGGAGTAGGTACGGCTGTACCCCATGACTGTAGCTCAAATGGAGAAATGATAAAAAACATACAGGACTTTTTAACCTCTTAGTTCAAGGATTGGCTGGAGTTGTTCTTTTACATAGATTTCAAGTAAGGAAGCTTCATTGCAACAGACTAATCATGACCTAGGGAAAAAGGATGACTAAAAGATGCATGTATGTTCTAAATGTATGGTGTGGCCACACCGGTATGTATAAAATGTGATTGCGAATGTGTGAGTGTGAACTGCTTATATGATTAAAAGGATACTTAAATCCCTTCAAAAATAGTTAAAAAGCTACCTAGATTACGTTAAATATAGCCAAAAGAAACATCCAGCCAGTCTATTAATGTTTTAACAAAAAAATTTAAGATACAAATGAGGCCTTGTCAGCTAGTGAGAGTTCTACAGGTTAGATTGGGAAAGACTGCTCACAGACTTCAAATAATTTTCAAAAGTTATTTAGTAAGCCCAATTTACCTAGATAGTTAACCAAGGAGGGTAGACAAATCCTTCTACTGTTATGGTCCAGCTTCAACAGTTCAAAAAGAAAATTTTTTTAGAAAATAAAAAGGGGGAATAATGCCCCCAGTCCCCACATGACTCATCAAATAATACACTCCTCATTTAAAAATTTTATAATGTGAATGCCAGTGAGCTTCAGACAGATTCTGGCATGATGGAACTTGAGCAACCATTGCTCAGGTCAAATGGAGACATCCATACACTAGACAGTGGAGAAGACCCTAATTTGGGGTCGAGGGCATGTTTGTGTTTTCTTGCAGGAAAAGAATAAAGCTTCGGCAACTGTCAGAACATTTAGTGAGATGCATGGAGCAGAGAAAAACTGGACCTGAGACCATGGGAGCCTACCTAAGCCAGTTTGAGTGAGATCTCCTAAATCAGTGTTCCTGATTCTTGATGTCATCGAATCTAGAGCCCAAGAAAGAAAGAAAACAGTCGGTTCGAGATTTCCAGTTTCTCAACAGACCTGCTGCATCAACCTTCCGGACCCATGAGTTTTCATCATGAAGCCAACAGAGAAAAAAGGACCCATTTAAAGCATTTGGACATTGGTATGGACTATGATGAGTGGCAAAAGCCTCTTTTCAGTATTTGAACAGGACATGGTCACTTGAAATATCAGACTTGATGGTTCCTGTTTCTAGAATCACGACTAGGCCAGTGTATTTTTTTGGAGAAATACAACTTGTCCTAATGCGACAACTATTGTTCATATTTTTTCATAATGCTACATGTGTAACATCAATGATTGTGCCCAATGTATCTGTGCAAGTGCACTTTCTAAATGCTTTCCTGAGCAGATCTTGAAACGATTGTAAACTTTATCAAATTGTAACAGAATGTAAATCACGTGCATGTTACCCTTGTAACAGATGAAGGCTGGTAGAATGTTATGGCCCAGATCTGGTGATGGGTATGGTGATGGAGAGGCGCTATGTCAATGGGGGTCCTGGAAATGGTGGCAGTGGCAGTAGGCATTCTGGCTTTATGCCAAGCTCAAACGTGCCTTGTTCCAGAGGCAAGAAATCCGTAACCAAGTATTCTTAGCTTAGCCCATGGCAATCCCGATAGCCATGAAGGTTGGTTACAGATGATTTAAGGTTGGGGTATCTCCGATGACGGGCAACCTGTGGGGAAGACCCCTCCCACCTAAAACAGGGGTTCAAGGTCCCCCAAAGACGGGAAAGGGAGGGTGACCCTACTTGACCTAAGCCAGGAGTGCCTCATTTGAAAATAAAAAGGGGTGAATTGTGGGAACACCAGACCTTGAGCAGAGACCCACTTCCCCTTCTGCCTGGGAGTAGGCAGCTGTAAGACAATGTTTAGTAAAAACATGTTTACTAAAAATGATACAATAGGTTCCTGGCCACTTCCCCTTCTGCCTGGGAGTAGGCAGCTGTAAGACAATGTTTAGTAAAAACATGTTTACTAAAAATGATGCAATAAGTTCCTGGGAAAGGCCTTCCCACGGAAACCGCCCTGACCTCGACCTTGTCCAGAGACTAACCGCACCTTCAAAAACCCACACACATCCACCTCTGGTGTCAGAGCAGAACCAGCCAGGGGAGAGGAGAGAGCAGAAGCTTCTCTGGTGGGAGCTTTTCTTAGGAGGTTTTCTTGAACCTTTTTGGAGCCTGTTTAAAGTTCTCTTTATATCGTTGAACGAGTCTCTGTGTTGTCAATCCCCGACACCCTCCGCACTTTCTCGGACACAGGCCACGCAGCAGACGTGACAGAATATTAGTTTAAGATGGTTACATTCTTTTGTGCTGTAGAGTATTTGTTTAATGATGCAAAGATGTGTTACATTCTTTTATGTTGCATTTGTTTAACTCTACAAAGCCGTGTTACTTTACCTATCTAAAACACAGTTACTGCCCAGATTCTGCTGAAAGCCCTCCCCAACCTGCCCCACACTGACTTCACTCTGTGCAAATGTATGATCGACCAGGCACATCAAGAAGAGCGGCCCATCAGACAGATCTTGTACCTCGGGGACCTGCTGGAGACCTGCCTCTTTCAAGCCTTCTGGCAAGCCCTGGATGAAAACATGGGTCTCCTGGAAGGTATAACTGTCTTTGAAGACTCTGTCCAAAAATTTATCTGCCATGTGGTGGGCATCACATACCAGCGCATTGACTGCTGGCTGCTTGCTGAGATGCTTGGCGATCTGACTGACAACCAGCTCAAGGTGTGGATGAGCAAGTATGGCTGGAGCGCTGAGAGCTCAGGGCAGGTCTTCATCTGCAGCCAGGAAGAGAGCATAAAGCCCAAGAACATCGTGGAGAAGATCAACTTTGACAGTGTGTCCAGCATCATGGCCTCCTCCCAGTAACTGTGCCTTTAATAAAAGACTCGTTCACTCCATTAAAAAAAACAATACTTGATTGGCCTAATAAAGATCTTAACGGCCAACAGATAGGCAGAAGAGAGAATAAATAAGAGAGAAAAGGGAGGAGAAAGAACAGGAAGAGAGGGGCCAACCACCTGGCCACACAGCTAGCCATTGAGTAAGAAGAGTGAGAGTAGAGAATGGTAAAAGCCCAAAGGCAATAGGCAATGGGATAATTTAAGAAAAGCTGCCAAAAAAAATAAGCCAAGCCAAGGCTAGGAATTCATAAGTAAGAATAAATATCTGTGTATTTATTTGGGAACTGGATGATGGGCCCCTAAAGAGCAAAGAGTTTATTTAAAAAAAAAAAAACTAGGCTGAGCGTCGGTGGCTCACACCTTTAATCCCAGCATTTGGGAGGCAGAGGCAGGCGAGTCTCTGTGAGTTTGAGACCAGCCTGGTCTACAGAGTGAATGCCAGGATAGGCTCCAAAACTACACAGAGAAACCCTGTCTCGAAAAACAAAACAAACAAAACCTACTACAGTGGTCTACTAGATTTGCTTGGAAAGCTAACATTCCCGTTGCCCTTGCTTCATAATGCGTTTCCTCCTGTACCTTTTGTCTAAAGAACTGTCTTCAGTTCTTTTTTTTTTTCTTGCTATTTTTTTATTTACTTAATTTAATCTTATGTGTATTGGTGTTTCTCCTGCATGTACATCTGTGTGAGGGGAGGGTGTCCGATCCCCTGGAACTGCAGTTACAGTCCTGAGCCACCATATGGTTGCTGGAAATTAAATCCAGGTCCTCTGGAAGAGCAGCCAGTTCTTAACAGCAAGGCCACCAGTGGTGCTTTTAACTTTCCTGTCTCTCAGAATGTCCTTGTTTTACTTTCATTCTTAAAAGGTAGGTTTGCTAGGTATTACAGTCTGGTTGACTATTCTTTCAAGCCGGCTGTCAGCTTCCCGCATATGCACCTGCATCCAGAGCTAAGGGTAAGACTGCTAAGAGACAAAAGCCCGAAAGTGCTCACCTCCTGCAGGGCCACGCCCACTCTGTTGGAGTAAATTCTCTTTCCTTGAGGTTTAGCCACCTGTAGATTCCTGCTGTTACAAAGGCCATGGCAGGTTTGTCTAAGAACTGAGTTATGAGAAAATGGAGAAAGATCTGAAAAGAGAAGTCACTTCTCCCACTCATCCTGTGCATCAGACGACTCATTTCCGGAATCTCAAGGCACAGCAGAGGGGCTACTGCTGGTCCCCAGCTATAGGGTTTGTTGTCTTGAGACCAGGGTGGAAGATATCCAAGGAAACAAAAATGCTAAATCCCTGCCATGCTACCACCCCGCTGGCCTTCTTCAGTTAGCCCTGCTGGTGGCTTCCCTTAAGCAACCTCACATAGCTTCCATGTGTATGTATTTTGTTCCGATTTTATTGCTGCATTCAGAGAGCAGGGTGCTTACCCAGAACTGGAATGAAAGTTGCTTTTGAAACTGAAAAGAAATTTAAATATTTCCTAATTAGTACAAAACAAAATTACTGATTTCTTTGGAATAATTTTATCTCATTTTATGTTTATAATCCTCATTTGTTGCAATTTACATTATAACTAAACACAGATTCTCTTCTCAATTACCTGCTTTCTGAGGCTCAGGAGAATTCTTTACTGGCTGACACCATTCCAGATGAGAGTAGGGTGGGCGGAAGAGCTCTTTTGCTTTGGGGACATTGCTAGTGAAGACTTCTGGGAAATGTAGTCTTCTAAGTACCAAGGTAGGGGGGGAGAACAACAGGAAAGAAACTATGGGGATAGATGACAATCTCAGAATTTTTCCCCCCATAAACATGCAATGATTACATGGTGTTCTTTTGTTTTACTTTAAGTATGAAAAAGCCACTTGTTTAATTTAGATAGTCATTAAGATAGATGAAACGTCATCAGTTAGTTCTAGAGAGTAGCACTAGATTTTCTTTTTAGACATTTCCCATGACCTTTTCAACTGCAATGTATTATTCTTGCTACAACCATTCTTTTGTGAATTTCCAAAACGAATATATAATGATGGTAAGTAGACAGGAAAATTCAGCATAACAATACTCCCAAATAGGCATTTATTTCTAAAAAGAAAGAAAGAAAAGGAAAAGATAAAAGATTTACTATAAATATGAACTATAGGGAAAGATTTGACTTCATAAGGAATAGGAAAACTAAAATAATGATTTCTTTATCAACATTACGTCTATTCACAAAGCTACTTTTGGAACAACAGTCCAGTACTGCAGTATTTAATGTAAATCAGTGAAGTTGCTTTGCAAATTCGGTTGGAAAACTCAGCTTAGGTAGAGAGTAGAAGGCACCAAGTTCGGCTTTGCTCTCAGTCTCAACCAGTATTTATTGACCACCTGCCATGTGTCAGATTCTGTTCTAGGCACTAGGGATATAGCAAGAGGAAAAAGTTCTTTACCTCATTATGTGTACGTTCTAATGGAGGCAGTAATCTAAACAAGTAGTAAACAGACTGTCTTTTTCTGTTACAGATAACTAAATACAGCTAAAAGAACACACGTGCATGGAGGGAGGTTCTGGGGAGATGGCTCAGCCACTGAAGTGCTTGCCAGCAAATATGAGGACCTGAGCACCCATGCAAGAAGCAGACAGGACAGAACTAGTCTAACTGAGTCAGTGAGCTCCAGGCAGGCCTGCTGAGTGACCATCTCCACAAAGGTGGAGAGTGGTTCAAAAAGAAAAAAAGACCTCTGATCTACACACACACACACACGCACACACACACACACACACACACACACACACACACAGAGAGCCATGCACACACATGCGCCAGTGTGTACACGGTAAGAAAAAGTGAACGAGGGAAGAGGAAGTCTGTGTTTTATAGGTTGATCCAGGAAGGTATATTACTTTTCTCAGTACTGTGACCAACTATCTGACCGAAGACAGCTTAAGGAAGGAAGAATTTATTTTGGCAGTGGTTTGAGGGACATATAGTCCATCGTGAAAGAGACAACATGGCAGAAAATGGATGTCTCCAGTCAGGAAGCAAAAAGATGAACTCTCCTACTGAAAGTGCTTTTTCTCTTTTCCCTTTTTATTCAGCTGGGACCCTAGCCCACATCCGAAGTGGGCCATCCTTAGCTAATTCCGTCTGGAAACACCCTCACAATCATAGTCAAACACGTTCCTTAGGTGATCTAAATCCAGGCAAGTTGCCAGAGGTCCTCCCTGAAGCAGTGCTGTCCGAGTAGAGACTTGGAGAAGCCAAGGAGCAAACTGGGAGTCCCGGTGTTCCGAACCCACGAAACAGCAAACAAAGGCCTGGGTGTGGAGGCCCAGCAAGGAACAATCAGCTGAGAGCGAAATGAGTGATGGGCATCACTTGAGAAGACACCAGAGAGTTGGTAGAGTAAGGGCGTGTGGCAAGATGGTAGAGAAAATTCCAGCAGTCTGTGAGCAAAGGCATGGGTTCGGTTCAAGAAGAAAGAACCCTCCCCATTCACCCAGTGGAGCAGGCATGAAGCCAGGCCAGCAAGTTAACACAGTCAGATATGGCCGGGCTGGAAATGGACCGTCAAAATGCAGTTTCCCGACTCTATGGGCCCCTGGGCCCCTGTGATGCCAGGCAGAACAACAAGGATCTTGGGTTTTGATCACTTAGCTTCTATCCCTTATATTTCCCATCTTTCCAGCTTACTATTTTAATGCTGCAAATAATATCGTTTCTTAAGTGCCCTCGGGTACTTAAGATTCCTATTATCATTTATTTAGAAAGCCAAGCGCTGTTCCGTTAAATAACTCTGGCATTCACAAGTTGATTTAGGGGGAGTCCAAAATGTTCTGAAATGTGTCCAGGTAATACTACCTCATGTGAGATGTCTGTGTGTCAAAGAGTGAGACTGGTGTGAGGACACTGAGGCCCAGAAAGTGAGGGACCTTCCTAGGGTCACATGGCAAGCCCTTTGTACCCCTTCCCTATCCTCCAGCTCTGTGCAACAGCTTGTTGTGGGTAATAAAGGACCCTCTGCCGCCCTGCGGTTGTCCTGGCTGCAGGGCTCTCGGGGCGAGACCAACTATCTCTTTAAGAAGGAAAGTAAAGACGAGCGGCTTACGCAGCTGCAGGCGAGCTGCCTACTGGCTCATCCCCCCCCCCCCCATCCACCTCTCCTCCCCGCCCTCCACTTCTCCCTCCCGGCAGCCCCAGCCCCAGCAAGCACCCGGCTAGCCACCTCCAGCTGGGGCTCCGGGGAGCAACCCGTCTGCCCTTCTGGGGCAGCCTAAACCATGGAAGCCTTCGCAGGTGATGACAAGGACCCCGGGGACCTCCGGGCCCATCGCCCAGCCGCGCCCGCCGCACCCAGGAGTGCAAGTGCGGGGGTGCGGGGCGCCGGCCAAGCACAGGAGCTGCCCTAGCCCGTGGCGGGCAGCGAGTCCTCGGAGCTTGCGGGCTGCGGCCACCCGCGCTCACCCGCCCCTGTCTCTCTCTTCCCCACCGCCGCAGGTTGCTGATCACCGCCAGGCAGCTGCTGCAGCGACTGCAGAGGCGCTACGCCAAGCCGCGCGGGAGTCGTGAGAGCCGGCGGCGGGACTGCGGAGGGCGAGTGGACCCAGGTGAGGAGGCCGCGGTGGAACGGGAGGGGGCCTGCGCGGCTCCGTGGCCACCAGGGGCGGCTTGAGACCACTTGCTGCGGCGCAATCCTGTAGGGGCACCAGCAGAGGAGGGGATTAATCGTGACTCATTCCTACCCTCCCTCCATCCTCCTGCATCCTCCTAAGCACTCCTCTCGTTTGCTTGCGTGAAATTTACTAATTAGGGGATGCTGGTTTCCGTAGGGAAGACGCCCAAGGTCTTCCTTGACATCTAGTAGGTGGGTTTTGGGGAACTAACACTTCGCCTTCCTATTTGTTTTCCTCTTCTGGCATTCCGCAAACATGTGAGCTTCTCTTTGGAACCGCACACCCACCCCAAGGTCAAGTGTCTATGACTGCTTCCTTCCTATCTTGCCCGCTGAGAAACATCAGAGCTCTGCAGTAGATCTGGCAGAATTTCCCATGATCCCTAGAGTGGGATCATTTGCCTCAGTCTCCCTGGAGCTTCCGCGGTATATGCTGTTTTCTCTTTCCACTCCCTAGCGGGGAGCCAGAGGGCTTGCGACACCTGCCAGCCTGAAAAGTCCTCCAGTCCCCGGGCATCAGCTCTGCAGGGGTGGGAAGGCTGGCCACATACTGCCGGTTTCCTTGCCCATCTGGGGTGTAGGCCTGGCTGAGCTGCAGGAGTTTCCCAGGAAATGCTGGCCTCTGCAAGTCGAAGGGTCTAAGCAAATGCCAGAGACTGAGGTTCTGGGCCTTAACTTGCTGGTTGGCCCCAAGTAGCCATCTTACTATTTTTGGGGTGCGGGTGTCTGTCTGCTTGTTTGTTCAGTGTGGGAGTTCAGCTGGATGGTCTGTACAATTTCAGTATACCACTTGAGCTTGGCTTCGCTAACTCTGTAGTCTCATCTATTAAAACAATTTAAGTTTAGACCTTGAAATAGTTGGGGTCCCTTGGTTAATCACTTTAACTCTGGACTTCTCAAGTGAAATGTTGACCTTGTGGGCCTTACAGTATGGAGGCATCAGTGGATTCTATGGTGACATCCCTGCACTGACAAGTGACTTACCTTCCCTGAGCCTTTATTTCCTCGTTTGTAAACCTGGGGAGAAGGGTACCTGCTTCTGAAGGTTGTCCTGAGAGTCACATGGGAACTCTTGAGGCAGTGCCAGCTTGACTGACACAGTAGGTCCTCAAGTGTTGAGAATTTGGAGATCAATTAGGAGAACAAGGAGTTCTCCTCTGCCCTACCAGACTCTTCCACACCCTGTAGAAGGAGTCTCTGTGGGGGTGGCAGGGGGTGTTAATGGGCCGCAACCAGGAGATGCAAACATTTCCAACCCAAAAGCTGCACTGGTTCTAGCAAATGATGGTTGGTTGCCTGCAGGCACGTATTACCCAGTCACGGGCTTGGAAGACCTGGCATCCAGGGGTGGCATCACTCAGAGAACAGAAGCACCTGAGTGTTGAGTGCTGGCCGGGAACAGGAGCCAGGCTTGCAGATCTCACATCAACCCTTGCCTTTCCTGGAATCTCCAACGGCACTGAAGCAAGGACCAAGTTCTGGGTGCCCACACTTCCCAGCCTCTAGTTCCTCCTTGCTGTCATTTTCAGCCTACCATCCATCGTGTCTAGTTCTGGTTTATTCCAGATGCCTTTTGCCTTTTGGCAGCAGCATAAAGGATGTTCCCAACAGGGTGGGGCGGAGCTTTTGCTGCAGCACCAGTTAGGTCAAAAGAAAGTGTGATGCACCGCCCACCCACCTAAATCCCTGCTGGACCATGAGCTCCTCCTGTCAGAGGCCCAGGCCTTGCTTCTCTGTCTTCAGCCTCTGACCCGTGACAAGGCATAAAGTAGGTGCTTAATATGTGTTGAGCTAAATACATCTGAGAGGGTGATACTTCCAAACCAGCTGTAATGGGAAAGAACTGTGGTGAGTTGGCTTGCAAGGCTCGGGCACTGCACAGATGTTGGTTGCCATTATATTGAGATTACCAATATTCATTTTTGTCATCGTCTGTGGCTAACAGCACTTCTAGGCTCCTCGTTAGGGACAAAGGGGCCAGATGTGCCTGGGAACTCAAGGTTGACAGTCAGGTCCGGATGGCCCTGGGTAGTGAGACACGGCTCTGAAGGGGATTGAGGAGAGTGATTCCAGCCATTGCTGGGTGAGGGGGAGAGGGCTGCACAGAAGAACTGATCAAGCTAAGAAAGAAAGCAGTAGAAGGCCAGAAGACCCAGGTTCCAGACACCATTCAACTGCCGCCTCAGTGCCACCTCTGTGTGTGACCTTGGCGTAGTTCTTTAGTGTGTCCTCATCTCCATCTGTATACTGGGGAGACTGGACTAGATGGTCCCTGGAGCTCTGCCTGGCTCTGAAATTTTGTTAAGAAGACTTTAAAAAATAAAAATATGGATGGTTATTTATTATTTCTAATGCCATATATGGAATGCCAGAGCACTGTAGGTGATCATTATAACAATTGTACCTATTAGGAAGGGAGGAGGCTGGGGCTTAAGGAGAGCAGGGATTCCCAGGGGAAAGAGGTGATCTATCTGGCTCAGAAGCACCACCCTTTCATATATCCGGTACCTTGCATGTGTGTGGCTCGTGTGCGCACACGTGTGTGTGTGTGTGTGTGTGTGTGTGTGTGTGCTCGCGCACGCGCAGAGTTAGAGCCAGGAAAGCTGGGAAGGATGAGGGCCGATCAGGCATCTCCCCGAATGACTGCTGCAGAGGACATGCTGGGCTGAACTGAAGAGTATGAGTCAGGGCTGCAGAGCTCTTGCCATGAGCTCTGCTTAGCTGATGGATGGAGGGTTCCCCCTTCTCAAGGAGAATGCCTAGGTCTGAAAGACAGTCATGACAAATGTGCTTTTAGAGTGCTCCCTATGTGCTAGTTTAACATGGCTTCAATGATTTACTCCTCAGACCATCCTAATATGCAGACTACATCCATCATTTTGCCCAGCAGACAGGCTGAGGGTGTTGCCCAGAGCTGGACAACTGACATACTACAGACCCTGGAGAATATGGAGCTGGGAATTGGCTTGGGGAGGGGGACGTCAAGGAGTGGTTTATCTGAGCCCTGCCTTAGACTGGGTCACCTTGGGTATGCCAGTCTCCCTCTGAGAGTCAGCGTCCCTACTGCTCAAACAGACTGAATGCACTGGCTGGCTCTAAAATTCTAAACATGACCCTATTCCAGCACAGGGTGGAGGGGTTCCCGGGCCTTTTGAACAGGGCTTAGTGTTTGTTATCATTCGTTAGCTAGGCTCTGGGCCAACTGCATGGGTATGGGAACAAGCAGGAGCCAATCATGAGTTTCAGGAAGCCCAGTGTGCAGATATGAGAAGCTGTCTAGGAGGCACACCGACACACGTTATAATCGGGGGTGGGGGTAGAGAAAGAGTGGGAGGTGGTGCTTCCTGCCCAGTGAGTCAAGAAGACCCAGAGAGCTGATGCCATTGGCATCTTTTTGTCCTGTGCTGAATTTGGGAATAATGATAAGTCTCTTCCGAGCTCCAGTGTTAAGGCCTGTGAGTTCTTCACCCAGCAGCTTAGAAGGTAGCAACAGAGTCTGAGGGACCACCTACGATCACTCTGTGATACTGTTTCAGTTGAATTATACAGGTTGTCTCAGGTGAATCAGACACTTTACTGTCCTTAGAGGCTTCTAGACGCAAGATCTGCTAAGCTTGTTTTTTGTTTTTTTGAGACGGGGTCTCAAGCTGACCTTGAATTCGTGATCCTTTGCCTCCCAAGTACTGCGATTATGGGTGTGTGCCGCCATGCTCTGCAGAAATGTGACTTCTCTGTGTTGTTACAAAGTCTGTCGGGTACCCCTGACAACCCGGAAGTTTCAGAAGCTTGTCCTCAGCCTCTAATCCATGAAGAACAACCAATCACCCTGAGAAGTGGAGTCATTGCTAAAGGTTTCTCAAAAGGGAGGGGCCAGAACCGTCCAATAGGAACTGCATTTCGGAGTCATCTGGGCTCTTTCTGGGTCTAGGCCACTCAGGCCCTAGGGGTGGGCAGCTGGTGCTCAGTGCTGGGAACACTGAGCCAATCGCCCTAGCGGAGGGAAGTCTGTGTTCCAGGCTGCTCTACATCTTTTAATGGATGGATATTTATGAAGTGTTTGTCACATGCCCAGCACTGTCCTCTGAACTGAGGCGCTGAGCCAACCCTAAAGGAGTGTCTGGGAGGCAGTGGAAAGAGCCAGCATGAGAGGGCTGAGGCTGTCCCTGCCCCCTGCTGTCCTCTTTGCACCTTCAGAGTAAGAGGTGGCAATGGATGAGGGTCCTTCAAGCTCTGATGGGCTAAGGACTTCGCAGATGTTTTCTCCTGTGTCCACTTGGGGGGTGGGTAGGAAGCGGGTGTCTGTAACTTGAAGATTCAGAAAATGTAACAAGAGGCAGGAACAAGCACTCTGTGACTTTGCTGGAGGGATGTTGTTTGGGAATGGCTCCATTGAAAGCCACCTCTTGAAAGATAGAATGCTACAGATCTGGATAGATGGGTCCCTGTGTGTTCGGTTTGGATCAGGAGGAGGGGACAGGAGCCTGCTGTCATGTGGGGACAGGCTGGCTGTGTAGCAAGGACTTGAGTTCACAGAGGTCTGCACCTTTGGGAGTCTGGTACAGCTTGGCCAGCTTTTTATTTTGCCAACTAAGGACACTGAAGGGAATCTCAGAGTTCTGTTTGCTACGATATCGTAAGAGAAGAGCCCCTGAACACCTGCAGGCTCCAATCGCAGAAAGGTACTGCACAAACAGAGTACATTTGCCTTCTAAAACAAACACTCACTGTAGACTGGGGGCATAGCTCAGAGATAGAGCTCTTGCCTGCCATGCACAAATCCCTGGAGTCCTTCCTCAGCACCACAGATGATGATGATGATGATACATTTTATAATTATCTTATTTTTGTATGGATGTTTTAACCTGTGTGTACCATGTGCACACCTGGTGTCCATAGAAGCAAGAAGAGCATTAGATCCCCTGAAACTGGAGTTAC